TGTCTGCATAAGTAGCCACCCTGGCCACAAACACACATACATATTTTCACTTTTATTAAGTGTACAGATTATGTTTACTGAACTCATGTAAGATCAAGGCAATGTGATGCATGCCCATGTGATGCATCCCCATGAGGAGACATTAATTGTGTGTGCGTGTTTCACTTAAAATCTCCAGCACATTGAGTTTAGACTAGATTGTGTCCAATATTTTCAAAAACAGGAACAATTGACCCAATATATCATCTGAAGATTCTGCAAACTCAGGGCTTAGGCTCCAATCTTAAGAGATGAGCCATGATTCAGATTATTGAAGATTGAAATGGTCCATTTAAACATGTGGGGCAAATTTAAAGAATATAAAATGGCAGTTTCCAGGGATACATTCGCCAGTATTCTTCTATTAAAAGCCCGAGCAGCTCAACATAATTTCTTCTTATGTTATTAAAGCTTCTACTGTGATAATTTAAAAAAATCTTGTTCAAAGCACATAAACGCAAGGCAAAAGTCAAGAAAATTAAACTACCTTTAGCCAACTAATTCTGTTAATCAATGATACGTTGCATGTGTACAACCATGGATGTAATTTGGAAGTAATCACCCGGCGTGACCTTGAAAATCCAAGAAGAGAGACAGAATTCAAATTTAATGACCAAAGAGAACATTAAATGCAGCAGAGTTCAAGGTCATACAATCATACCATTGCATATTCCAAGCATTTCCCAGATTTTTTTTTATTAAGTATTAACTTTGGTTCTAAGAATTCCACCCTCGTTTTTGTAACACTTTGTTAAAAACAAATAAGCAAGAGCAAATACAAAAAATATTAAATTATGAAAACAAATCCCATTAAGGCTCCCTTTTTAATATTTATATATGTACACTTGGAAACAAGTGAAGGTATAGCAGAAGACTTAACATGACATAATTTAAAATAGACAACTAGGATGCTTGCCATAGATGCAGACGAAACCTCAGGAGAAATGTCTAGAACATGGCCATATAGCCCGAAAAAACCTACAACAACCTAGTGATTCCAGCCATGAAAGCCTTCAACAACTAGTTTTCAATTAAGACCACTCAATTGAAAATATTAAGCAGATGGAACATATTGAGGAAAAAATGGCAAGGCTGTGCAGCAATCTTTGCCATGAGAGTTATCAGTCCCCACTGCTGTGAATAAAGAATTCTGGACAATCTGCCAAATCCTGATTTTTAAACATCGTTTTTTGACCAATCGGCACGAAATAATTCTGAATTTCTACACGACGAGAAGCCCAGAGGATCTCTTAAATGGGCTAAAAGTATGTTTACGTTCTACTAGTAGTACAGTAATATTACTTCCCACCCATCCCAAATCTATTACCTACTGACATATCTACAAAGCAGGGTCTCTCCAACTCTTCTGTCCTTTCCTCAAGAGGCAGTTGATCATATCTACATTACTTATGGAGTAGAATAATTAAACCACGCATCCAAGTTAATGTCTGATACCCAACTTCATAAAATCCAAGAGTTCTTCTTTATTATGTCCATAGGACTTTGGTTCAGAACATACTTATATTTTGGGTTGTTGTAGGTTTTCCAGGCTATATGACCATGTTCTAGAGGCATTTTCTCCTGACGTTTCACCTGCATCTATGGCAAGCATCCTCAGAGGTAGTGAGGTACATCTGAGGATGCTTGCCATAGATGCAGGCGAAACATCAGGAGAGAATGCCTCTAGAACATGGCCATATAGCCCGGAAAACCTACAACAACCCAGTGATTCCGGCCATGAAAGCCTTCGACAATACTTATATTTTGACACCAACTTGTTGTGAATACATTACAATGCTCATTGAGGACTGGTTGTGGAATTTGAATTTGAATCTAATAGGTCCATTTTCTCACTACCTCTGAGGATGCTTGCCATAGATGCAGGCGAAACGTCAGGAGAAAATGCCTCTAGAACATGGCCATATAGCCCGGAAAACCTACAACAACCCAGTGATTCCGGCCATGAAAGCCTTCGACAATACTTATATTTTGACACCAACTTGTTGTGAATACATTACAATGCTCATTGAGGACTGGTTGTGGAATTTGAATCTAATAGGTCCATTTTCTAAAAGAGTATGAGTAAATTAAGTAGGAGAGGAAGGGAAACACTTAGCAGCATCGGGGCATGCTTTTCTGAATGTTCCCATCTGCCATCTCTGCAACTTGGTATGGCAGTGGCAAACCTAACTGTATTACAACTACAGAATTATGGGCTATTTTAAGCTCTTCCAAAGTCTTTCTGTAGGGAAATAAAGGGAAATGACACTTTTAAAAAGTTGTAATATTCTGCTACAAGAAGAGCTCGGCATATCTTTATATTTGAAGTGGAGATCTTATACTCTACCTTTATTGAGGTCAAGTAACTCAACAGTATCAGTGGTCTTCCTATTTTCTTCTTCTAATACTGCATAGGGAACTATTAATTCAAGTGGTGAATGGTAAAATACATTGTGGCAGGATTTAAATTAGAAATAAATTAAATCTCAACTAAACGTATTTATCATTGACTGGGATTTATGATGCTTTTTTTTACTCTCAAAAGAGTTGCATGGTTTCTGACAAAGAGAAAAGCATCATGCCAAGGGAAGGCTCTTCATATTAATGCTTCTTCCCACAACCAATATTGATTTTCCCCCTCAGTTTTATGTGCCTCCAGCTATGATAAAACACATCACTTATACAAGTTGGTGTTGGCAGCAAACACTGTTAAGCATTTTACTTGGATGACATTGGTACTCAGCTTTCTGAAGTAAAATAACAGGCCTGATTCGTATCTCATGTTGATATAAGCAGTTACTGAATGGGATACTTTATTTATTTATTTATTTATTTATTTATTATTCAAACTTATATGCCGCCACTCCCCTAGGGCTCGGAGCGGCTTACAAGAAACAACTTATATTCAAATCAATAATTTTCTCCATAATTTTCTCTATATTATAACCTATATTCAAATCAATAATTTTCTCCACATTTGAAACATGGAAAAAAATCCCTTTGAGACTAAAACTTCCAAACTGCCACCACTTCCACCAATGACCATGTTGGCTGGAAATGTTGGAAGCTGCAGTGTAGTAATTAACCTACATATTTGGGTCTTCATAGAAAGCTGGCTTGCAGCATTACAGCCACCAATGTCACTCATTCATTGGCATACCAAAAAACCCCCACTAAGGTGCAAGGGTTAGTTTGCTTATGAACATGCTTATGAACTAAAATCCATGTTGAAACACATTTAGAACAGGAACTTGTACATCCATTATTTATGTTTACTTCTATTTCCAGTTATATGCAGCTAAGACACCCTGAAGATGCATGCGATTGCCCTCAAACTCTAGTGAAAACTACAAAAGCCATCTAAAAACCATGTCCAGATGTTGTCACTAACCCATAATTTACTTTGGGAATTCCTCCGAAGAATCATGTGACTAAAATATAATTAAAACATTTGTGAAACCTAGCAGGAAGAGTAGACGGGCTGAAATCTTGGTCAAATTATATCTTAGGACCATGTCTAACAGAAACCTGACACTAGAACAGTGGTTCTCAGTGGGTCCCTGGATGTTTTGGCCTTCAACTCCCAGAAATCCTAACAGCTGGTAAACTGGCTGGGATTTTTGAGAGTTGAAAACATCTGGGGACCCACTGGTTGAGAATCACTGCACTAGAGTGAGCAATTTATGTCCCTCTACATCAGTGGTTCGCAGGTGTTTTGGCCTACAATTCCCAGAAATCCCATCCAGCTTACCAGCTATTAGGATTTCTGGGAGTTGGAGGCCAAAACATCTGGGGACCCACAGGTTGAGAACCGCTGCTCTAGGTGTTGCTAAGACAACTACATCTCTCACCAATGTGTTTGTTGCCTAGATTTAATAACTCAACAACATTTGAAGGGCTACATGTTGCTCTACACTGCTTGTGCTACAAGAGAGCTTTTTATTTTGCTGTTACTCCCATGGAATGAGAAGGGAAACCAGAATGAAGTTTCTTGAAGAAAATGATCAGGAGAATCCTTAATGTGACTGCAATACTATAGCTGCTTACCTAGAATTGAGTGTCTTTCTTTCAGGTAAACATATAGGGATCAATCCTGGAATGCAACATAATTTTAATATCCTTCTTGTATTGGCAGACATTCTTTTATCAGTTCCACTACAACACTAGTGGCCTTTCTGATGTTAATGACCCTCCACTCCCATCATTTCTCACCTCTGGCTAAGTTTGCTAGGATGAATGGGAGTTGCAGTCCAATAACACATGGAGGACCATAGACTTCTCACCACAGGACTAAACAGAGCAAGAAAATACATGGAGAGCAAAGAATATGTTCCGCCTATCTTCACGATCGCTTTAAGATCTTCCGGGGAGGCCCTCCTTTCGCTCCCACCACCGTCACAAGCATGGTTGGTGGGGACGAGAGAGAGGGCCTTCTCGGTGGTGGCCCCTCGCCTCTGGAACGCCCTTCCAGGAGAAATAAGACAGGCCCCATCCCTCCCCTCCTTTCGTAAGAGCCCGAAGACCTGGTGGTTTAAACAAACCTTTGAAAATGATTAGTTCTAGCTCAGCCCCAGATACTGTTGAAATTGGCCATATCTTCTTCTACCAATTACCCAAGTCACTCCCTTCTGTTAGGCCCTGGAAATGTACAGCCATAGACTCTACCTAATTTCCCAGGACCTCTAAAATCGCAGTAGCCCAGCCCGGCCTTTTGAATCGCCTTGATCAGGCATGATTATTTTAAATCTATGTGCTATTGTGGTTTTAATGCTTATATTGTCTTGTTAATTTTATGTTTATGCCGTTTTTCTTGTATATATTGATTACGTTACTTGGAAACCGCTCTGAGTCCCCTTGGGGAGATAGAGTGGTATATAAATAAAGTTTTATTGTTGTTGTTGTTGTTCCAAAGATAGGCATGTTCAAGTTTTAGCACAAAACTGGGTGGTTTTTTAAAAAATATTTCCTTCTTTGAACAGCTGTCTCAGAAATGTTATGAGAAGTGGTATGTTGTGTGACATCTAGGCACACAGTCCAACTCAGGCAGCCCAAAGACACAAAATTAGATGAGTAATTAATTGGGTACTGGGGGGAAAGCAAGGAAAAGAATCAGAGAAAAAGTCAACCGCAATGTAGACATTGCTAGTGCCATTGCACAAGAGGAATCATGTGCTAAATCAGGATGCCTAGTAAGGTCAGTGTGGGGTGGATGGGAAAAGAGATGAATGTTCTAGTGCACAGAACTTCACTACAAATGCAGAGGTGAATTGATAACATATTTTACTTGCTTAATGATTGAAACCATTAAGCTTTTCCCTGGTTTTTAATAATTCTCCATGATGATGTCAGTACTGCCCACAAGTAGCACTGGAAAAAAAAATCAAACTTCAAGTCTAAAGGAAACTACACTACTGAGTAGGAATGGGGAGAGCACTGCTCATTCTTGAAGCAGACATTCCACACACAGGATGCACAGAAAAGTGGTTTCAGAAAACTTTGTTTTTCTGCATAGCAGAACTTCACAAAGTAGGAGCAACAAAAATGTCTATACACACTAGCCTGAGATGCCCACTAAATTGGGAGCAGGAATAAGCAAGCAATGTAACAACTCAAAATTGTTTCCTGGGTCAAGTACTTTGGATATGTCTTTCAACTGACAACAGGTTGCTTGTTCATTTACTGATCTCCATAGTATTCTTGGCGAGTTTCATCGACAGCGCAGCCATTCGGACACAGAGGATCCAGAAATTGACCTTGTAAAGAACCGATTTTTTTGCCCAAATTCAGGCAAACGAGTGAAGCTTTCTGCAGAAGTCCCTCCCTGGCAAAAACTGAGGGAATGGCTTTAAGTCAACAAGGCTCCTCCTTTATGAGGTTTGAGCATCTTCCGCATCTTGGGCTGTCCTCCTCAAGTTGCCTTTCACTTTGACAAATTCAGGTGCGTTCTCTTGCTCTTCCTGGATCTTCTGCTTCTCCAGTTCAAGCTGAAAACAAGACACATTTATTAAAAAATAAAAATAAGAGGCAAAAGAATGTTTGTAAGTCAAAGACAACAGGAATCATGTTTCTCAGGTTCTAAATTATAACCAGAGAAAAGAACTAGGTACAGTCTTTGAGATGGTGTATTGGGTTTAGCTTTGATAATGACATAAACAGGAAGAGCTGTGAAATTATCTGACCGCTCTCATTCTCTTGCCATTTTTCAGGGTCACTTTGAAAAGGGGAATACATTTCCTGACCATCTTGCCAGTTAGTTATCGACAAAACCATCTTCAGTGGATTTGCCCCTATAATTTTAAAATCTGCTATTACCAATTGTTTTCAAACATATGTGGAACTAGCAATCAGATGCTGTGAACTTTTCATTACCTCCCTTTTTAAGATTTCAAAACAGCTTCCAGTTGTTCTGTGGGGTCTAATGCAGTGAATTCACTCTGGAAGCTTGTCTCCTAATATAACCTTCATTTCCCCTTTACCTGTTCCAGTTTTTGTTGTCGTTTTAGTAGCTCTATTTCCAAGTCTGATTTCTTCTTCTGAGCCTCTTCTTCTTTCTGCTTGAAAACTATGTCTCTTTTTCGTCTTTCCATCACCTTCTGCAGCTCTGGCTTGTTCTGAGGAGCAAGACCCCTTGGAAAAAGGCAAAAGATTCAGTGTTGAGAGACAAAGCATCAAGATGTCATAACTGCACTATACTTCTAGACCACTGGGCTACTCTAGAATTAGTAACTTTAACTGATTGAATTCATATGAGCTAAGGAACCATCTGAAAAAAAATTGGGGAAGGGGGGTTCAGGTATATATTAAATATATATGTGTATGTGTGTGTAGCACATTTACTAAATGTATAGATGATTTACTACCTTGGGAATAACCTTTGAGAATGCCTGCCATAGATGCAGGCAAAATGTCAGGAGAGAACATTACTGGAACATGGCCATGCATCCTGAAAAATGCACAGCCACCCAGTGATTCTGGCCATGAAAGTCTTCGACATACCGTAGTGGGCAGTGGTTCTCAACCTGTGGGTCCCCAGATGTTTTGGCCTACAACTCCCAGAAATCCTAACCAGCTGTTTACCGGGAGCCCCCAGTAGCGCAATGGGTTAAACCCTTGTGTCGGCAGTAATGTTGACCAAAAGGTCAGTGGTTCGAATCCAGGGAGCGGAGTGAGCTCCTGTCTGCCAGCTCCAGCTTTTTATGTGGAGACATGAGAGAAGCCTCCCACAGGATAGTAAAACATCCAGGCATCCCCTGGGCAATGTCCTTGCAGACAACCATTCTCTCACACCAGAAGCAACTTGCAGTTTCTCAAGTCGCTCCTGATACACAAAAAAATTCTTAGGCTTTCCATTTGCATATGGAAATATTGCTTATCTGGGAGCAATAGAACAATGAAACTATATATTGTCGAAGTCTTTCATGGCCGGAATCACTGGGTTGTTGTAGGTTTTTTCGGGCTATATGGCCATGGTCTAGAGGCATTCTCTCCTGACGTTTTGCCTGCATCTATGGCAAGCATCCTCAGAGGTAGTGAGCCTTCAACAATACATTCCTGCCATAGATGCAGGCAAAATGTCATGAAAGAATGCCTCTAGAACATGGCTGCACAGCCTGAAAAACCTACAACAACCCAGTTTCTCTTAATATCTCACAATAAAGGAAGAAATAGTAACAGCTGACTTTTGGCATAGTCATCTATTTTTATAAGTATTAAATACAAAAATAATCTGAAACAAAGTTTGATGTGAGCACAGCATTCTTAACCCCAAAGATTCTTAGATTAACTGCCGAGGACCACTATTATTCCACCCCCACTCCCCTTAGCTGTTGAAATATCATATCAGTCTCATAATCCAGGGGGCACAGCATTGCTTTGTTTTCCCTGGTTCACCCATGTGAAATCTACTAGGATACAGTATTATTCACACGCATGGGTATTTATCATATTTCAGATGCTCCGTTGGTAACAGAAAAACATAGATACATGTGCTGTCCATGTTTTCTATAATGACAATTTCATAGCTAAAGAAGACACATCCAGATTCTTGGTCTTTGACAACACAGAAATGATTGTGTTGGGGGACCTGCACTACTTTCAAAGTGAGGATTTTTTTTGTGGGAGGAGTATGGATATGCATAGCTACACTGAGACAGCTATGATATATGTATAAGTACAGTGTCTCAGGGTGCATCTACACCAGTGGTTCTCAACCTGTGGGTCCCTAGATGTTTTGGCCTTCAACTCCCAGAAATCCCAACAGCTGGTAAACTGGATGGGATTTCTGGGAGTTGTAGGCCAAAACACCTGGGGACCCACAGGTTGAGAACCACTGATCTATATCAAGCATGGCTGGAGGGCTGAAGTTTGCCCATGTCTGGCACTGACAATGGAATGCAGTTTGACTTAATGTTATGAAATCATAGGAGTTTTAGATTTACAAGGTCTTTCATTTTCTCTGCAAATATTGCTGGTGCCTTACTAAACTACCACTTCCACAGTTCCATAGCACTGAGCCATGATGGTTAAAGTAGTGACAAATTACATTATATCGACAATGTGGATGCACTCTTAGTCATCAATTTGTGTTATGTAGTAATGGTTCTCTTGGTGCTCAAAACATGCCACTAGATGGTACTAAAGTGCAACTTCCAACTATGAAATCCTCACAGAAAGATGATAACAGACCCCACCAGACACCACTCTGCCCATCATTACCTATGGAAATGAAATGTAAATCAAATTATTCTACACAGTAACATAATCAACACTATTCCCAGAGAGTGGGTTTTATTTTCTTTAAATGCTCCCAAGCCTTTGCTTCATTTTAAGGCTTTCATTTCACAAAGAAGATTTAGGATTATTCTGCTTCTTCATAAATATATATATATATTTAAAGAAAATAATATTCTGCCAGACTGCTAAAACAAAATCTAAGCCTCCAAATACAGAAGTTTTGGTGTAAGTGGTAAGGCCCAGACATTTATATTTTATTTCATTACTATTTCAAATGTTTTAATACAATTAAGTAATCTGAAATTACATTAAAAACAATATTATGTTGTTTCAAGTCAACTGATTTTAAGGTACAGGCCATGGTGGGCAAAAATTAATATGTAATGACATCTCAGACAATTTTCCAAAACAGGAAGTTTTGTTGGGAAAGGAAGTTTGAATTTGTTTCTAGCTTTAAAAACAAACATTCTGATTACTCAACCAACCAAAAAATATGTTGTCTTAGTTTTTAGGTCTGTTCCTGGGGTTATTTGGGACACTGGTTCAGAAAATTGCAGTGGATAGACCGAATCAGCTCTGGTTTTTTAGATATAGTTATCATGATTTTCTATGGGTGAACAGATGGTGACTGGTAGATGGCATATGTTCTGTATCTCACAAACTAGATGATGGAAAGTGGTGCCATTTTTGGAATCAGCAGGTCAAAATATACCCAGAAACAGGGCTAACATTTGAAGCACCAAAATATGAGTTGGCCAGTGTTATGTGCTTCGAGGCCCTCTCTTCTCAGAGTGAACATTTTGCTGATTTTTTAAAATTTGGCTTCAGTTAGTGGATCTCAGATCTATCTAAACAAATAAATCCTGAAACCTGAGCTCTGCCCACTTTACAGCCATGGACAAATTGTGGCACATGAACCCATTTAAGTTATCTCCAATCTTATTTAACATGCAGATGAACCAATAGAAACCTCCAACCAGTGTGTAATGCAGTGCTACTCAATGAGGTAGTCTGTAGACTAATGCCACAAATTTAGCATTGATCTATGGGACATCAGAATAAATAATGCCAGTCCCCTGAGAAGTACTAGTGTAATGGAGCCAGAACTCAAACCCCAAGACTTTTGATGGTCAGGGACTATTGCATCATATACGATCCTCCCTTGTGTCTTCTGTTTGCTCTGAGGTTAATTGCTGCCCTAATCAAGACTAATTTTGCCAGTGATTATGTGTTGTTAGGAGCTGCTGTATTCCCTGCTATATTTGTGGGTAGCTTAGTCCTGAGCTGGCAAAGCCCCTTAGCTTTACACAAGACCTTGGCGGACCAGCGCTATTGGTACTCTTGGACCTCACAGCTGCATTCGACACCGTGGACCATGACTTGCTGATTCATCAATTGGCTCTGTCTGGTGTACAAGGTTTAGCCCTGAAATGGTTCAGTTCATTCCTCCTGGACCGGAGACAGAAGGTGGAGTAGTTAGGCCAAAGCTCTGAGAGCTCCTGCCTTTGCTGTGGAGTTCCCCAGGGTGCTATCCTCTCGCCCCTGTTATTTAACATCTACGTCCGGACACTTGCTGGACTGGTGCGGAGCTTTGGCATAGAGTGCTACCAGTATGCAGATGATACCCAGCTACTCTTGCGTCTCGAACCTGGGACAACCGCGATTCCTGAGAACTTTAGGCTGTGTTTGGAAGCAGTGATGAGTTGGCTGCGAGCGAGCAGACTAAAAGTGAATCCTGCTAAAACTGAGATACTCTGGCCTGGCCAGCCGCCAGAATTAATCCAGTCTCTGCCTGATTTCGATGGGGAAGCTCTGGTTCCGTCTGCCACTGTTAAAAGCCTTGGGGTTGTGTTGGACTCATCACTGATGATGGAGGCCCAGATCACTGCCATAAGTAAGCAGGCCTTTTTTCATCTTCGCCAGGCAAGGAAATTGGCTTTCGGTAGAAGCATTGGCAACAGTAATCCATGCAACAGTCACCACTAGGTTGGACTATTGCAATGCCTTATATGGTGGCCTTCCGAAGTCAACAACCCAGAAGATTCGGATGGTCCAAAATGCAGCGGCCAGGCTGCTAGCAGGATCATCTATAAGATCCCATATCACACCGATTCTGCAACAACTGCATTGGCTACCGATAGAACATCGGATCTCTTACAAGATACTGATCCTGACATTTAGAGCTCAAAATGGCCAAGGACCTTTATATCTTAGGGACCGCCTCATTCCTTTTTCTCCATCAGTGGTCACCTCGATCCACCCAGGAAAATCTCCTATACATACCGGGCCCTAGGGAGGTACACCTGGAAGCTACAAGGCGTAGAGCTTTTTCGACCTATGCTCCAATTCTGTGGAACTCATTGCCTCCATACATTAGAGCAATGTCGGAGTTGCGACCTTTTGTAAAGGCACTCAAGACTTGGCTGTTTGGTTGTGCATTTAAGTAATCAGATCTAATTTGCCAAATAGTCACTGTTGAATGTTTTTATGTTGAATGTTTTTATATTGTGTAAATGCTATTTTAGATTGTAAGTCGCTCGGAGCACCTTGGTGGAGAGCAACTAATTAAGAAATAAAGTGAAGACCTGGCCCCTGTTGAAGATGAAACTTTTGCTAGAAACTGTTTTACATCAGTACAGCTGCCTGCACTTTTGGACTCTCTGCTGGACTTTTCTCTGCATATGAAGCTCGGAAAAAAATACTTTATGGACTAAAACTTCCATTATACACACTGCCATGCTGAGAGCCTACCTTCTGCTCCTGAGTGGGCAATACTGGCACTAATAGTTCTCAAAAGAGTGAGAGTGGGGGAGATATAAACAGTGGAAATGTGGAGGGCTGACGGCACTAATAGATGTAATCAAACAGTGCTTGCTTCTACCATACATACATGA